AGACAAATTTAGAAGAATTATTGGACTAACACCACATTCAAGTGGCCTCTGTAGTCTAGGGGTAACGTTCCCACCTCATGACTCAAGGTATGCGGGTTCAAACCCAGTGGAGCTTGTGCAATTTTTAAGGGCGGAAAAATTGAGGGAACAAGTCCTCCGGGAAGGACTTTAAGCCGTGTGTCCCGTGTCATAGATTTACAGCACGTGAAAGATCCTCATGTCAGACCTCTGAGCAAAATTAGGCAAAGTTTCCCGCCAAAGTAGTTTCCAATTCCTCCAGTAGATGGGGAAGTATCGGGGACCACTGCCAGAGAGGTGGCCGACCTCACTGGCAAGACGGGGCTGATAGCGAGCACCAGTACTGGAAGGGCATGGCGACTGGTAGAATATCAAAGGGAACGCACAATAGACTACTAGTCACGGTGCATGGGAACCCACCCCACCAAAAATAATAATAATAATAATAATAATAATAATAACACCACATTGAGTGTTATAATGCCACACAGAAAAATGGACTCATAGCAGATGATGGAAATCCTGCTGAAAGAAATGAAGGCCATGCAAGAAAAGGGGGAGGCAGATAGAAAAGCTGCCCAAGAAGATTTGCTGGCCAGGATGGACCCAGATAGAAAAGCTGCCTAAGAACAATTGATAGCCAGGATGGATGCCAACCAACCAAAAGCAGACAACAGACATGAGAAGGCAGAGGCCGACCACAAAGAGTTGCTGGCCAAAATGGAGGCTGACCAAGAAGAGTGTAAAGCCCACCAGGCAGAGATGATGTCTGAGGTGAGAGCCTGGTGAGAATTAATGGACACCAGCTTTGAGGAGATGGTGGCTGAAACCAAACCCCAAAAAGACGAAGAGATGATAGCCTGCGGAGAAACAACAGAGGCATGACTGGATGAGAAGCCGACCTCAGTAGACAGAAACTTGAGGTGGCCCAACAACGACAGTTCCCTAAAGAAGACGCCACAGTGGTGCTGGTCAGAGGACTGAAGAAGAAACGGCATAAGGACCGAAAACTGGCCATGGAGCGCCGCTGCCAAATGAAGGAGCAGACCCAGGATCAGGATGGGTGCCAAAGAAGACTGGCTGTCAGCCGCAGAGGGACGAGCCGCTGTGTGAAAGTGGCACAACAGACAAAGGAGACCGACAGAAATATGTCCATCGAAGAATTGCCTGGCGCAAGAGAAGTGTTAGTATGGGAAACTGTATCGGGACCAAGTATGAGGAAAGAATCCGGGGACTCAGAGAAAGAGTGCGGATTCTCCCTGAAGGAAAAAGAGGAACAAAGGATCAAGGCGGCTAGCGGCTGCTATACATGAGAAAGAAGAGGACATCTATGATCAGTATCTGAGGGTGGAGCTCGGGACAGCGATCACCTCTGAGAAAAATATGATCTGCCTATCAGACTCTCAAGAAGACGCTAGAGCTGAAATTCGTGAAGAGAACAACCAGGATGTTCGGCGGGTTGCAGAGAGACTGGCCATTGCGGAGCTATCAGCGTCCTCCGGAGCGACAAAACATCATGGATTGGACACTCTGGAGGGGTCAACACCCTCCAAAGCAAAGGAAAAAATGAAACAGCCCATAAGGGAGGAACCGGTAATGTAGAAGCACTGGCCTTCCTGGCATGAATGGAAAGTGAAAGACAGGACAGGAATGAATGTGATACACCTGGACTGGCTTGCGACCTACCATGGAGCTGCTTGAGATGAGCACCCTTGAGAGAGGAGGTGTATGGGGCAGAATGATCACCAAGGGAAGGGAAATACCATTAGGCTGTTCGGGACGAACAACCTTTAGAAGGGAGCCATGTAACATGTTATATATGTCGTCCATCACTGAGCAGTGGTTACAATAGGAAGTTAACAGCTAACAGTGAGTTTCCACGGTTACAACGAATGCATGGAAAGTTCCCGCAGCGACAAATGCAATAACAGTGGGCCATTGCTTGGGAATACTTTGGACAACAAACACGTCTCCTCGGAGATGAAAGGAAACGCACTGTTTGAAGCATTGAATGACAACAGAAGGTTCATTGCATAGTAGCAGGCAAGGGCAAGGTTATAAAAGTCCAGCTTCGACAAGAGACCAGTCAGTACTTAGTGTAGCTCCAAGTAGAGCAGAAGCCAGCTAGCATCTGAAAAAAGGGAATAAAAGACTTCACTGAGATTAGTGGTGCAAGAAGTAATTATAACAGTGAAGTAGTGGATAATAATTGTACTTGAGTGTGTAAAAGCATGTGTTCAATAAATATTTGCTGAATCCGAGACCTACGTGTAAATTATTCGTTGCGTTACCTAGGAGACAGAAGTAGGTTACCAGGTAACACGCAGCACCGCCACTGTGGAAGTGTGACCCGCCATGCAGGAGTGGTATGGTGCAAGGGCACATCGTCGGGAAGAATCTAACTAGGAGCAACATTGGAAGAGGAGCCCTCAGAGGGCAGACGTTCAGGTAAAGACTTCAGGTGGATCTGGAGGACAGCACTGGAGTGAAGGATCAACGCACAAGATGGTGGCTGCGTCTTGGGAATGAGAGAACAGCCAGCCAAACCCTCAGGAAGACCCTAGGGCTGGATATCAAGAAACAAGTAGTAGAGATTTCCAGTGGATTACAGAAAATCAAAGACTGGACACTGTGGAGGGTTCGACCCCCTCCAAAACGAAAAAGAAGCAGGGAACAGAGGAGGAGCCGGTAACGTAGAAGCACTGGCTCCCCAGCAAGACTGAATGAATGAGAGAGAGAACTTTGGATGATTGTGATACAACTGGATCTCCTGGCACATTAGCAGGAAACTGCTTGAGACAAGCTGGTCTTAACAATGGAGCAGATATAACAGTTGGAGAACGGACAAAGTGAAGGAAAGAAGCCCCAAGCCATAGAAAAAGAAGACATTGCAAGCACAGCCTTGGAAGAAAAAAATGGGGATGCACCGTTAGGCTATTCGGACGAACAGCCTTAAGGAGGTAGCAATGTGGTGTATTTGCTGTATGCAAAAAACTGTTGAGCCACAGAGACCTTGGGGCATGCACACAGTGTGATAGTTGCAGATTGTATCGGCGCATTGCTATGCAAAAACTCTGTGGACGCTTCAATAGCGCAACAGGAAGTGCAAGTGACGTCACATGTCCCCACTCATCCAATTACTCTGCGATGCTCGGTAAACACCCAACCCCACTAGGCTGTGACGTCACGCAGCAGTGATAACTATCACGTAACTGGTTTCTGTGGGGTCTGTTACTGGGCAATAGGCTGTTTTCTGTGTGGTTATTGCAGAAGCTACATAATGAGAGTATTCGTCAGTGATGAGCCAGTATTGAGTATGAATTAAGTATGAGTTGTATTGAGTGAGTGGAATCAAGACAGTGTCAGTTGAACAGTTGAAGACAGTTGAAGCCTGGAAGTGGCTACAGCAGGAGAAGTAATTGGGATACTGAAGTTATGAGCTATGTAAGTGTGGATAAAAGTGTGCAATAAATTTGCTAGATCCAAACCGGCGTGAAGTTATTTGTCACATAACACACAGCCAGCATGTGACAGTATTAAAGTTTTCTTGATAAATCTAGTGAGTACAGAGCTGTAGTGTTTGGTTAGCTCATCACAAAAATGGCTGATAAGCGTTTCGAACAAGTAATTAACACAAAATCTTTGTTCATACTTGGAATGACTTAACAGAGTTGTCACTGAGGATGAAATTTAAGTTTCTGAGTATAACTTGTAGACAAGTGTAGAGCGTGTGATGAAAATGTCCAGGCTTACTGTGCCCCAGGTAAGAATGAATATCAGAATTGAACATTAAGACAGTGTTGATATATTCCATTAACTGCAAGAGGACGGTGTACTGAGAGTTTGTCCCACCTTGTCAGATTGTGAAGAAGAAATGATGGGACTTCCGACATAGAAGTTCTGTGATGTGAGGCTAGACTTCTTCCCTGACAGCTCCTCTTTTCATGGATGCTGCACATGACAACATGCCATCTGTCACTATACTTCCTGCCATAAGTTTGATAAAAATGATTGTGGTCCTGGAATGCCCTGCTTACACAGCAGGTGTTGTTCCATACACTGTTCTTCCCTACTATTAAGAATCATGACAAGGGGTCACACTTTGAAACTGGAAGAGACATAGAAGATTACCTTAGCTATTCTGACAACTTGCAGTAGAATTATTTGTACATGTGCTTTGACAGTTGACAACAAAGCTGAAATTCATGTTTGGGCTGAAGGAGGGAACTAGTATGACCACTGCAGTTCAGAATAAAATTTAATACAGTGCAGTCTCTGAGTACAGTCTTTTTATTTAATATCAGACATATTGTAGTATGTGCTTGGAGAACTGAGGAAAACCACGAAGAACTTCAGTCAAGATAGTCAGGGTAGCCAATGTCATGGCTGAAGTTTGAAAATTTTACCATTTGGGCTGACATGCTTGTTTACTTCCCATTTCTTTTCATACTCAGGCTCTCTGAATATCATTTTATCAGTTGAGATATCCAGCATGTTATCGATGCAGTATCAGTTGTATGTTAGTTGAAAGGATTTTGATTAAATTTGTATTGAGGCTTGCTGCAGATGTTAGAACCTTAAATGTTAATTTCAACCTTTTCCATCAGAGTTTTTAGTTGTAGAGCTAAGTAAATTTGTATGCTAATCTCACTAAGTATTTATAAGACAAAACTGTTTTACTCAAAAGTTAATGAATTTAATGAATCAAATAAATACTTTGTCTTATACATTTTAGATTGTTTTTACAGGAAGTTTATTATCATTATTATGGAGTAAAGAATGTCTGTGTCGATACCTCAAGTGCAGGTGTATCCCACTTTGACCCACATACTTCAGCTACTTTCTTCTTCTCATCTTCCCATATGGGGATTTGAACTTCTGAAAGTCAGTGCTGTGCTGTATATAAACACTTTTGAAAGTGGTTATATGATTGCTGATTTTGGAGGTGAAGAGAGAACATTCAAATTTGTATTCCACTCAAGGTTTCAGACATGCAAGAAAAGCTGAAAACAGAAGCTGAAGGTTCAACACGATTAAGGAAGCAGGTTGCCGAACTTACAGTTGCCAAGTCAGCCAGTGAACAGATGCATGTGGAGCTGCAGGGAATGTTGTCAACACTGCAGCAACAAAGGGATGCTCTGCAGCAGGAGGTGGCAGTTCTTCAGGGACAGCTTACACAAGAGAAAAGCTCTCGCACACAGGCCTCTGATCTGCAACAGGAGCTTGAAGGTAATTGCTTTGTCTTCACATTATCAAATGTGACTTCTTATCCCTGTGGCTTGCTGCCTCTTCTTTGTGCTTGACAGTTTAATAATGAAGTTTCCTCAGGCAGGCAACAATATTAAGATGGAATAAAATATCTGCTTGACATGGGTGACTGCTTAAGACTTCATTGTGTTTACTTGCTATGAAATCTTCAAGTATTTCATACTTTATGATAAGTCATAATGTCATTTCCCATTTATCCATAAACAAGAATAAAAAATGTAAGATTTGAGGCTTTCACGGCGGTGACTATGAAGAAAGCAGTCTTCTGGGATTTGGCACCGTGTATATGTGGTGTTAACCGACGTTTCGGAGGAACGTATCGCTTCCATCTTCAGGGTAGAAGAAAAATATAATACACTAATACAATAATACAATAATAAATACACATAGCTGTGTATATTTCCACACAGTCTGCTTTTACCGGTTCTCACGGTCTCTTTGCTTGCAGATTCCTTATATTTTTCTTCTACCATGAAGATGGAGGCGATACGTTCCTCCGAAACGTCGGTTAACACCACATATACACGGTGCCAAATCCCAGAAGACTGCTTTCTTCAAGAATAAAAAATTTTAGAAAATTTGATAGCCAGAGAGATACAGGATGTACAAATTAAATGTGTGCCATTTTGCTGAAATACAGCCCATGAACTGAAGGGCACAGGAATGTAAACTAGACACATTTTAGTAGGTAACATAATCAAATTTTGTTACTTGCATTTATAGATATTCAGTGAATGCACTGTGAATTGCCTTTCAGGTATATATGTATTCACTTTCCACACATCGTTAAGGAAGTTGGGATAACTGTAGCCACGGCATCCCTTACCTTCCCAGTAAGTTTGTTCAGAGTGATAGCCAATGATGGCATATACACAGCTGATGTTCCTTAAAAAGAAAATCAAGAAGAATTTTTTCCAACCTCCTGTCACTTCATCCCTCTTTAACCCAAATATAGTCCTCAGCACAATGTTCTCAAACATCCTCAACCTGTGTTCCACCCTTAATATCGGAGACCAAGTTTCACACCCATACAGAACCACAGGCAAAATTGTATTTTTGTGTGTTCTGATTTTTATGTTTTTAGACACCAGACGAGAAGACAAAATGTTCTGGACTGAATGGTAGCAAGCATTACCCAAGTTCAATCTCCTCTTAATTTCCTCCTGAATCAGGTATTGATTTGTTATCATCGTTGCCAAATATCTGAATTGTGCCACATTTTCAAAACATCTGTGTCCTATCTTTATGTCGTGATTTTACCCTGCATTTTGGTGATGAGATGGTGATTACCTATCACTGCTTGGCAATTTATACCTTTTCAACTTTTCAATAGCAATTTCAATCTCAAAGTGGATGGGATCAGGTACTGACGGCTCAGCTGTATGTATTTCTATCTGCCTAACATGACTGACCCTGTGTACATTCAACAACTGAGAAGTAGTTCTACCTATTCAAAATGTTGTGGGAATCTGCAAGCAGATCACCAGTCTCATCCTTTACTAAGTTACTTCTAGGTTGGTGAACCCTCTTAAAGTCATTTATCCTTCTATACAGGTCTCTAATTTTCTTGTTCTTACTGTTCATTGCAAGCTCATTAGTTTTGTCGTTCAGATATTTCCTCTTTCTATTCCTTTAATGCCTGCTGGTTTTATTTCTTATATTGTTCAGATTATGCCCTTTTATGTGCTATCTTATGCCTCTGAGACCTGGCCACTGTTAAGATCGGATGGAAGACTGTTAAGTATATTTGAAAGGAGGATCTTGAGATATATCTTTGGACCTGTGGAAGAAAATGGAATATGGAGGAAGAGGTATAACCATGAGCTATGCAAACTATTTAATGAACCAGACATTATTGGATTTATGAAGGTGAAAAGGCTTGAATGGGCTGGACACATAATACGTGCCAGCGAGAATAGAACCATCAAGAAAATGCTTAATACTAAACCAGAAGGAAATAGGAGAGTGGGAAGACCAAGGTTAAGATGGGAAGAATGTGTGTGGCAGGACATAAGAATTTTGGGTGTAAAGAACTGGAGGAATATAGCATTGAATATAGAAGAATGGTGAGCAATCCTGAGGAAGGCCAGGGCTCACAAAGGGCTGTCATGTCAGTGATGATGATGATGCCCATTTATATCGCTTGGATCCTGCAACCACTGCAATTTGGCTTGTTTCCTTTGGTCTAATAATTTTGAGCATCCTTCATTGAACCATGGCTTATGCTTCTTCAGTTCATAATAATCTAGACTCTTTGGCAGAAAATTTTATATTCTCTCTAATAGTTTCCCAAGCTCTATTAATATCCACCACAGTGTCTGAGTTTTCCAAAGCTGCGAACCTATTTGAGATTTCAACAGGATACTGATCTTTACCTTCTACCTGGTTTAATTTCTTGAGATTGAACCTCTCCGTATGAACTCTGTGTGTTGTTTGTTTACTCACTGCCAGTCTCTCCATAACTTTTGCCAGCACCAGATATTAGTCAGTATCACAATCTGCTGCCCTGAACAATTGGACATCAAGTATACTTGAATGCCATATCCTGTCTACCAAAATATGGTCATTTTGGTTGTATATCTTTCCATCAAGAGATATCCAAGTAAATTTATGTTATGATTTGGCAACATCATACATTTGACAATAAGATTTTTGGATGTGGCAAAGTTTAACTCCATTATCATCAATTTTGTGTAAACTCTTATTCCCAATTGTTGGTTTGAAAATGTCTTCCCTACCTTCTTTGGCATTGAAATCACCTAACAGAATTTTTGTGTAGTATTTAGGGAATATAGAAAAGTTATCCCATGGCAAAAATCAGTCATCGAAGTCATTCTCAAAAGTCTACATGAATTTATCCTGACACATGCTGTGACATATGAAGGTGCTCAGGGTAGTTTGATTAACTAGAGGAATTTCTAATATGTATGTTTTCTGGGAAATGCCATAGCTGTTTGTTTTATGTATGGTTAACACTGTTTGTATTGTAGCATGTTTACCTTCAGATGGTAGGAACAGAGTTAATAATGAATTGGAAGGAATGTGAATGGAAGTGATTGGTGCATGATTTTAGTTACTGTAGCTTGCCTGGAGGAACTGAGGTAAATCACTAAGATTCTGATAAATTTTGTTCTGATTGAATTTGAAGTAAATATATTCTCCACTGGTCATGACACAACACAGTTGGCCACTTTGTTCCTTGCGGCTGGCCTTGACTAACCAGACTGCATGATGCGTATTTATAGAACAAAGGGGAATTACAGTGGTACCATTCATATAATGAACTGTTTATCATTTGCTACATATCAGTCATAACGCACTTCTTAGAGTCAACATCACATCTGAAAGTCGTAGATTCTCCACGTGTCTTCTCGTGGTTATAAATTCCAATCTAGAAGCATCACTGGTCAGAATATGCCTCAAGAGAATCGACTTTTCATTTGATCAGCATGCAGGACAGCACACAGTATTGATCTAACATATTTAGTTCATAAGAATTCCCCAAAGGCAGAGGTAGGTTTGTATGGTAACAAGCGCACCAAGTGTTGCAATAGAAAACTTTTTCAAAGAATTCAAATGTATTACAACTCCCACAGGAAGTTCAAAGTGGGACAATGAATATACAAAATGATAGCCTGAAATTTCCTCTTTAATTTCATGCCAAAAGAATTGCTTTACATGAAAAACAACATTTCAAAATACGAGCTGAAATTTAGCGCTGCACCAGGTACTGACTTCAGTGACATAATAGAAGCCGCTGGCGTGCTGTGCACGGATTTTGCCACTGAAGGATTAAGGCAAGCGGCTGTCGTGGACGCTTGGGAACACAGTGATGAACCTTCAAAATCTATGATCACTTGGAAACTTCTTGATTAGCTGAATGGCTACAATTTACTCAAGTACTCTGCTCCGTGGATAGTTTGTCTTCTGGCATATAATGCCATATAGTCTCTTTAGCCATTTAACGGTTTGAAGAAACACATTGTCTCCATCTTCAGGGTCAAAGAATAAGCCAAGCAAGAAACCAGTATGAAACAGTTGGTAATCTTGAAGATGGAGGGAACAAGTTGAAAGGTTGGTTGGCTATGAATGGACCACATAGTGTTTCTCCTCCTCCTCCTCCTCCTCCTCCTCCTC